AGCCCGCAACCTGGGCATGTGCCCTGACTGGGAATCGAACCCCGATCGCCTGGATCCTAGGTTGACGCTCAACCGTTCGTTGAGCCACGCCCGGCCGGGCTTGTATTACATTTTAGATTCTCTTGCCCCCTGGTTGATTTCAGTTATTTATTTCTGTTTTAGGTATTTGGATTATTATGATTCTAAGAGTTAGAGAAAAATATTCAGAATAGTATCACTGCACTGTTATCTCTATTATCCATTCCTATTCTCTCTCTCTCACTCTCACTCTCACTCTCACTCTCACTCTCACTCTCACTCTCACTCTCACTCTCACTCTCACTCTCACTCTCACTCTCACTCTCACTCTCACTCTCACTCTCACTCTCACTCTCACTCTCACTCTCACTCTCACTCTCACTCTCACTCTCACTCTCACTCTCACTCTCACTCTCACTCTCACTCTCACTCTCACTCTCACTCTCACTCTCACTCTCACTCTCACTCTCACTCTCACTCTCACTCTCACTCTCACTCTCACTCTCACTCTCACTCTCACTCTCACTCTCACTCTCACTCTCACTCTCACTCTCACTCTCACTCTCACTCTCACTCTCACTCTCACTCTCACTCTCACTCTCACTCTCACTCTCACTCTCACTCTCACTCTCTCATTCTCTTCCTACTAACTCCCTGTAGGCAACCAGTTTCATTGGTTTCTTTTATATCTTTCCTATATTTCTTTTGCAAAAATGAGCAGATATATGTGTACTTTTTAATATCCACTTTTTATATGAAGGGTACCTTATACCTTTTGCTATATATACTATACATCATATACAAATATGCATTATATATACACAAAAACATTTTTGTTTTCCATTTAATATAATATTTACAAAAAGACTTAAGTCAGTCCTATCTCCCTTAGCATTCTGTGATATAAAAACATTTGTATTATTTTTCACCCATAGAATTTTGAATATGAAATGCACAACTTAGAAATGAAAAAGTAAAGCATCAAAATGCAGGGAAAGACAATTTCTTGAAGTTTTGCTTCCTAAAACATAACATTCCTGGGTGCATAAATATCAATATTGTTTCTCTATAGCTATAAGTCAAACGTGGTGTGGAGTTTATGGTAGTAATTTAAATGCCTTTGTTTATAATATCCCCTTTACCTTTTTTTCTAGCTGGTAGCAGTGTTTGATGAGCAGGATCCACATCATGGAGGTGATGGCACCAGTGCTAGCTCCACAGGCACCCAGAGTCCAGAGATATTTGGCAGTGAACTTGGTACCAACAATGTTTCAGCTTTTCAGCCTTATCAAGCAACAAGTGAAATTGAGGTCACACCTTCAGTCCTTCGTTCAAGTAAGTGAAAGTCCTTTCTTTAATGCACATTTCATCTTAATTTATGGGGATTCCAACTTTTATTATTCAGCCATGCTCCTGTGAATGGGATTCATTACATGTTTTTATCAAAAATTGATTAAGTTTAGAACCTGGGCAAATGTCTTTTGCAAAAGAGATAGGCAAGATTCTGTACATTTTAATAGGTTGGGGTTACTTTACTTTAGACTGGTAGACTTTTAATTGCTCACTAAAGGTAAATAATGCTAAGAGTTAATTACCTGAATTTTTCTTTCCATATATTTCATCTGAATGCGTGAACAAATAGAAATAATCAAAGGGCTTTACAATGAAATAAAACATAGCATCTTTGATTGCCAGTCAACTTGGTTATAACCATTACTTGAACTTTATCTGAAGAATAGGAGGAGAGACCTCAGGGCGATAGTTATCTTCAGGGATCTGGAAGAGATGCTATTAGAATGCCATCTCAAGGAAAGAAAATATAGGACATGAAGAGTTTTATTAGGAATCCTAGGACCCAGAGTATTCTAGTTCCAGTACACTTGCTTGAAGAATTCTGTCAGCCATTCCTAGAAGTTTTCTTGGAAAAGTGAGGAACTTTGCTGGGAATCATGTTTAGTTTTTGTAACTGTATAATCTTATAATTAAGCAATTCAGAGTAAGAAGGTTCATTTCAAGAAATTTATAAGTTAAAAATCATTTATGTTTTAAGCACATCTATTTAGAAACATTTAAATTTTTGAAGTGGAAAATTTAGTCTTTGCTATTTACCGATAGTCTTAAGTAGATCTTCACGAATAGATAGCTAATAATATAATAATATATAATATATAGAAATCATATATAGAATAAGGTAGATAATATTTAGATTATATAGTTTCTTCTTCTAAAATGCATCCTTGGACTGATGCACCAACGTGGTGGGTTCCATTCCTGGTCAGGGCACATGTAAGAATCAATCCATGAATGCATAAATGAGTGGAACAACAAGTTGATGGTATTCCCCCCCCCCTCCCTTTTTCTCTCTCCCTCCTTTTCCATCTCTCTGCATCTCTCTAAAATCAGTTATGAAAAAGCATCCTCCTTTCTACTTTTTGTGTTGGTAGCAATCTATGTTATTTTCCCAATTTACTTCTAGCTGTTTATACACTGCTTCTGCTTCCACTGTCCCTTGAAGGAGAACAAGAAACGAACATCAGTTTAGCAGTTAACAAATCTGATGGTGCATCAGAAACCAAAGGAAAAGTGTGCCATAGAGATGTATAGAATTGAGAAGGCACACTCGTATGATGGGATATGTAAGTGATGCCCTAGAGCAGAGGTGGGGAACGTCTGGCCTGCAGGCCATATACTGCCCGTGAAATCATTTGTTCTGGCCCTGCCAAGGCAACCGCAGGCAGGAATTGAAATTCAGTAAATCTAGGAGCTTTTTCGTAGCTAATTTTTAAGCTGATGATTTTGTATCGCCCTTGAATGATGTTATAAATATCCATATGGCCCTTGGCAGAAAAAAGGTTCCCCACCCCTGCCCTAGAGGATCATATATGGGTGCAGGCCAGTGTTAATCACTTTCTAAAATTGCTTTCCATCATAAGGACAAGAAATAATTATAGGTGAGAGCTAGGTTCAATGAAGAGGAAGTTGGAGTGTGAACAGATACGATAAGTGTTTTAGTTGAACATTTTCTGATATCCGGGAGATTTACATTTGTTTTTACACATATACAAACAAATATATTTTAAAGTAATTTTGTGGAAATAATATTTAATTACTACATGGTTATGCTATTTAAAAATCTTATGTTGGATTTACTTGGGGCAAAATTTTTCAAAAGTTGAGGTCTGTACTATGTATGGTCTACAAGATAATATGTAAGTGGTATACAGATCACTCTATTTTCTTTCTTTTCTAAAATATGTTTTTATTTTAGAGAGAGAGGAAGGGAGAGGGAGAGGGATAGAAACAACGATGAGAGAGAAACTTCAACATTGATTGGCTGCCTCCTGCACATCCCCTGCTGGATATCAAGCCCGAACCAGGTCCTCTTGGTTCATGGGTTGATGCTCAACCACTGAGCCACACTAGCTGGGCTTTCTTTTATTGTATACTAGCTCATTAAGTCTTGCTTTAATGCTTATCTGCTTGTAATAAGCATGTGTATAAAAAGTGGATTACATTTGAGTTAAATAAAAATTTAATTACAGATATTCCATTGCCTGATGTTTAGAATATAGTGTTTTTATGTAATTAAATCCTAATGTATATCATTAAGTACAGAGTTTTTTTTACTGTTGTAGTTTTTTACTCATGTGTTTTATAAACAAGATGCACCTTTAATTTATCTGTGCCTTAAAATGTTGGAGGAAAGGTAAATCCTACCTTTATGTTAAGAAGAATTTGAATGGCATGCTTCCCATCAATTTTACTCCTTTGACTTCTCTGGACTCAACAAAAATTCTAAAACACTACCACCCACATTTGACTGGCCCTATGTGTTGAAACTTAAATGCTATTTTCAACCCAGTATATTTCTTTTACTTTGTTTTTATTGAGGAAAGGGTGTTATATTTGAAGCATATGTATTGTCTTGCAGCCACCAGTGGGAGAATATACAAGTCTTCCTTTCTTGCTCTGATTTCTATATGCTAAAATTATTTAGATTTTAATGGCCTTGGCAAGCATGGGGTAAGTGCATATTAATCATTTTCTAAATACAAGGTTTGGTGACTGTGTAAAAGTTACTCCATAGGAGTCATCAGTCTAGTAAGATGATTTTTCATACTGTTTATTCATATTAATTAAAAAATAAAACAAGAGTTGATCAATGCTGGTCAGACATTGTGCTAGGTGATAAGAGTCCAGAGTTGAGTTCAAATAAGGCATAGACCTTGTCATCAAGAAGTTTGTTTAGTGGTCTTTCTGATTTACAGACATGAAAATAAAGAAGCCAACAATATGTAGAGCCTTGCTCAATTGAGGAATAATCACCTCTAGTTAGGGGCATGGTTAATAAAGGATTTTAGATAAATAAACTTCTAATTTTTGTCTTGAAGAAAGAAAGTGATAACTTTCCCAAGTTTTCTATGAATGAATTGACTCATTCCCTTTGTTCCATAAGGAATTGATGGAAACTGTGAAAACTATACAATTTTTTTTTCTCAATGAAGAGTGGATATTAAGTGTTGGTATTAAGATTAATCCTAGGATCTTGTCACTAATTTTTCCTTGAGTTTTCTTGTAGTAGATACAAAATTACTTATCTCATAGCTCTCAACTGGGAATGATATTTTCCCCCAGGGACATTTGACAATGCCTGCAAGTATTTTTAATTGTCCCAGCTGGTGAAGGTGGGGGGACGCTATTAGTAGCTGATTGAGAACAAGGATACTGCTGAACATTCTACAAGGCACAGGAAGGTCCCCCATATCAAACAACTCTCCAGCTCAAAGCGTTAATAGAGCTGGGATGGAAAACCCCTGAGTTAGTGAGTCATTGTCCTTAAGGTCAAAATAGCTGTTACCTAAGAGAAGTTAAAACTGAAACTTGAGAAAAATTTTCTTGAGCCCAGTGTCTTGAATAATACCCTTAAACTGAAGGGCAAAGAAATGATCACTAGCTAATAACAATATTGCTCATAGTAGGTAGGCAACAGACCATAACAACAAAAAACAGAGAATTATGGGCAGTATTACACAAAAATAGTAGTGTAAATATAATTAATAGAACAAAAATAAGTTTTCCTAAGCATAAAAACGTGTTTTAAACATTGAGAAAATAAATAAACTACATAATGAAAGACTGCTTATATGAAAGCTTCTTTTTAAAAAAATTTTTAATATGTTTTTATTGGTTTCAGAGAGAGGGAGAAGGGAGAGGTAGATAGAAACATCAATGATAAGAGAGTCATAGATTGGCTGTCTCCTGCATGCCCCCTACTGGGGATCGAGCCCACAACCCAAGCATGTGTCCTGACTGGGAATCAAACTGTGACTTCCCTATTCATAGGTCGATGCTCAACCACTGAGCCATACTGGCCTGGCTAAAAGCTTCTTAGTTGAAGGAATAAAATAGGATACCTATTTTAACATTAACCTATTTTATACAAAAAATAGGTACCTATGGGTAAGGGTGGGAATCGGATGGAGGAAATGGATTAAAGCTAGACTTGTAATTCATTCTTTTATATATTTGGTATTGGAGCTATATCTTACTTTTCATAATTATAAGACCATAATATTTTAAAAATAAAATTGTTAATAATTAATATTTAATAAATAACTCAATTATTAAAATAAAAAATGATATGACACAACTAACATAAGTTGATAACTCGGTTAAGTTGATTGCTCAATCATCCAAGAGTAACTACTGGGTGTTCCCCCAAAATGTATTACACACTTCTCCTGATAGCTCAATTGATGTTTTTTTTCTTTTCAGATTTAACCCATTGGAATTAATAATTATTCAAAGTGTGTATACATTTTTTTGGGAAACCCTATATTTTAAGTAACTATAAAACAGTGGATGCTGGACCTGGATGGTACCAAACCCTATATATACTATGTTTTTTCTTGTATAATAAAGCTTAATTTATAAATTAGGCAAAGTAAGAGATTAACAACAATAACTAATAATAAAATAGAACAATTATAATAATGTACTATAATAAAAGTTGTGTGAACATGGTTAAAAAAACCCCTCAAAACATAATAATTTGTACAACCAAGGAGAGACTGAAAAAAAGAACTGCCAAACAAACAAGAACGCTATGACTGCTTGCTGTTGGTAATGTTGGTATTGTTAATCTTAGAATATCAGATGGGTTTTATGAGATGAGGCAAATGAGGAATTATAATAACATTCTAACTTCGTTATTCCTCTTGTCATTGAGGACCCAGGATACTTAGTATAGAAGAAAAGGGATACAGATGTAAGAGGAGAGTAAATAAAAGTCTGTAAGCCTCAATTTGAATAGGACATAACAATGAATTATGCTA